TTTGAGAGCTGTAGTTTGGGCATGCCCAAACCAGATTATTAAAAATGAAACAATTCACATACAGGAGCATGCTGCAATGCAGAGACTGGAAGATAGCTAGAAGGATTAAAGAAATAAATCAACTCAGTTTATTTTTAAACATGGCTCTTTTTAGAGGGAATGGAAATACTAACATCTCTGTGATAATTTTCATATGGACTTTTGGAAGCATGAGCCGTATTTTGCACTTTCCCCCCTGCAATTTCCATACAATTTGAGCTCCTTCCTAAAAAACTTCTCAGAGCCCAGTCCTTCTGACTGGTGGTGCAATATAACACATAGACAAGGCAACTAACAACATTAAAAAAACCCACTGAACAAAAATGTAAAATCCACATGCAAGATCCACACTAGGTGTGCTCAGTCTCTTCTGGGCACCAGCAGAGGTCTTTTTTTTTAATAGGCAAGTCTCTTTATTTGGTCTCAAATGCTTGGTGAAGAGCTTTGTAACTCACACAAGAGGTGGTTAGGTCCTTGGCTTAACTGGAGTCAAGGAACAAGAAGGAATTGTGCATGTAAATCATGAGGCAATGAAATTGACTTCTTTTAAAGGTGCGATATAAAAGATTTAAAAAGTCTCCTGCCACTATCTGGATCTGGTTGTGGTAAGTAGCCTTTAAAAGGAGCTTCTGAAGTTGCCTTTGTATTTATTCATTTCTCGCATCACTGGGAGAACTTTATAAGTGTATAAAGCATAGTATACCTTTGCCACAACAAAATAGATCCTGGGTAAAGAGAGGAGAATGACTTGGAGTGACATTATTCTGGACAAAATCACAATTAAAAGAGACACATTTAATAGCTGCCTATTCATGAAGTAACATGCATTCCCAACAGTCCTGCACAGGAGAACTACAGGGTTTCTAACAATGGACAAGGACCAAAGCATGCTGGAGATTAAAGTGTAAGCAGTATAAATGCTGAGTTTTCCCTTCATGCTGAGAAACCTGCCCTGCTTCCCTTCCCGACCCCTGCCGAGACAACTATTACAGTCTCTGTCGCTTCTGATGAAACCCTGGAGCCCTGTATACAAGCTGGATTTGACCAAATTCGTTTACTTGTTATAAATATGCCACTGATATATTCATGCACCACACAGCTCTGTTTAAAGTTCTCACAGAACACTTGCCACTTCCCTGCAGGGGAAAAAACCAAACCACAATCAAAACAACACACCACCCTTCTTTTTCCCCCTCGCTACATTTTTACTAATGCAGCAAGAAGACTGTTCGTGAGTAGTATTACTCATGCCTCGAATCAAGCTGATACAACTTCAGAATACAATGGGGAACTTAATGAATTTCTAAGAGTTTTACAGGGTACGTATCGGATGTGGGGTATTTGAAATATTACACCACATTGACATGCCTCACTACAGGGATAAACATCGGCCCAAGGTTGATATTCACTACAATATTTTGTTACTCATTTCCAGTATTTTGTTTTCGATACCAGCTGGGCACCTTCCCAAGAAAACCAAAATCTTCTTCCTTGGAACAGGCAGATTTCAAAGGAACACTATGCAAACACTGGCTGTCTTCCTCTATGATTTCTATGTAGTTACAACACTGCATTTTGAGGATCAGGGGTGACTGCTCTGACATAGAACTTAAGTGTAAAATAATCAACACTACTGCTTTAAAAGGTTTAGCAGTAGGGTAAAAAATATGTTTTAAGCCAAAGGAAGCTTTCCCAACAAAGACATAGCAGGCCATCTATCTCCAAGGGACTATGCATCTTCTTCTGCTTAAAGTGACCCCCAAAACTCCAGGCACATAATTGATTGTAAATGAACTTTCTATTTAGAGACTAAAGGAAATGTATTGCTTATACAGAAATCTTTATTCTAAAATTAAAAAAACCCTAACACCCAACAACAAAAACCTCAACAATAAATACTCCTTTAAATTCAAGATCTATATAAAGGAAAAATAATTAAAAAGAAAACATTAGTATTTGAAACTAATAAACAATTTCAAAATATATTAAAACATAAAAAATTAATTTTACTGTGTACTTATTCCTTGAAAAGGGACTTTAAATAGCAGATCTGTTATATAGTAAATTGTCTTGCAGAGTTTTGAAAATTTTAGAAATCATAATAACCTGATTCCTGAAAACTCAATGGAGAGATGCAAAACTAAATCTTGTTCACATCGTAGTAGTTCAAGAGAACTAGTTACAGGAATTTACCTAACTTTGCTGATAAAACCCTGAAAACCCAAAGCACATGAAAAACTTTACCAATTTTCCTGTGCAAGTTCTGCAGATGGCAGCAAGAGTAAGAAGAGAAAAGTCCACTAAAGCAGTATGACTCAAAACATCTTGAAGGTACTGTTAATAGCTGCTTGGAGCTAGGATTTCACCATTTTAGGAAAGGTCATTTAAGTGAACATTCACAACTAGGAGAAGTGTTATTCTAGTAAACCAAAACATTTGTGGTTAGTAAAATTGAAGCAGATTTCGTATCTACATTAAAAATATGTTTCCATTTGTCAACTTGTGGTTTTAAGTAAAACTCTACAACATTCTGGGAAATGAATGATGCAAGCAACACTTCCAATAGAGAAAGGGCTAGACTGCATGGGATTTAATAGTAATAAAATACTTGAAGCAAACAATTTGTCTAACACATACCAGTGAAAGAGAGACTGCTCCCTTGCGGATTTTTACTGAAAACAAGGAAGACAGCAAAATAAGACAAACTCAGGATACTCCCAGTAACATATCACAAGTAAATACAATTTTGTAAGAACTCTGGATCTCAATTTGTTCTGCAAAACACAGAGAAGTTTTGGTGCAACTTGAGCTTTCCAGCAAATGGAATGATTCTCAATTTCCTTCTTCAGAAAAAAATTCTTAAAGAACATTCTGTCTTTGCTATGTAAATGAGGAAAGTCACAGGAGAAACTCACAACTAGTGCTCATACAAACAGCCCCTTACTCATACATGCTCTCAATAGAAATGGACTTTTCTTGAAAGCAAATTAGGGCTGGAGCTCAACTTCAGCTTGCAAATTGACTTAGAGAGTGTGAGAGATCTAACATTTCTGAATTTTTTTAAAATTCTTTTTTATTTCTTTTTATACCAGGCAGGAAATGAACAGATATATGAGATCAGGTCAGTTGGTCAGAGCATGGTGCTAAGAATGCCAGGGTTGTGGGTTTGACCCCCATCCAGGCCATTCACCTAAGAGTTGGACTTGATGATCCTTGTGGGTCCCTTCCAACCACAAATATTCTGTGATTTCTGGATCACTGGGGAGCTACTGCAGGTTTTCAAATCTGAAGTGCTTCTATGGTAAAACAATCTCATTTATTTTTCACTTGTATTTTTTGACAAAGCTCTGCAAATTAAAAATCAAAGCAGAAAAATATCACTGTACATGTAGAATTGCTTCTGATTCCAATTAGAGACAACATACAGCATGATACAGAGTCTCACATCAAGAAATTTGGAGAATTGCCAGCTTGGAGCTCTTATTTATGACTTCAGTGATCATTTGACTCAACATTCAAGAGATGTGCATTTTCAGCCAAGAAAGCCAATTATATCCTGGCTGTATCAAAAGCAGCACGGCCAGCAGGGCGAAGGAGGTGATTCTGCCACTCTGCTCTGGTGATACCAAACATGCAGTGCTGCATCCGCCTCTGGGGTCCCAAAATAAGATGGACATAGGTCTGCTTAAACAATTCCAGAGGCCAGGAAGATGCTCAGAGGGCTGGAGCACACCTCCTATGAAGACAGGCTGAGAGACGGGGCTGCTCAGCCCAGAGAAGGCTCTGAAGAGACCTTGGAGCACCTTCCAGCACCTGAAGAGGGGCTGCATGAAAGGGACAGGACAAGGGTGATGGCTTTAAACTCAAAGAGTGTGTTCAGATGAGGTATTAGTAAATTGTTCTTTACTGTGAGGATGGTCAGGCACTGGAACAGGTTGCCCAGAGAAGCTGAGGATGCCCCATCCCTGCCAGTGCTCAAGGCCAGGTTGGGGCTCTGAGCAACGTGGTCTATGAAAGGTGACCCTGCAATAGCAGGGGAGCTGGAACAAGATGGTCTTTAAGGTCCCTTCCAACCCAAACCATTCTGTGATTCTGTAACACATTCTTGCCTGTACCAAAATGCTCGTTCATTGAGTTTAAATCACTTTGTCAGATTTGTGTTTGGAAATATATGGAGGGATTTTCTAAATTTTTGGAAAGCAAATAAATACATGTGGTATATACGATGAGACACTGTTAAAACTTCAGAGCAAATGAAAGATTTTGTGTCTATGCACATAGACTGGGAGTAACAATCTTTTACACAATACTTGAAGACTTTATGGACTAGGAAATAGTAATTATGTTCTATTTATAGTGTACTTTTCCTGAATGACACATTGACTTTATTCCTTGCTTAAACACTTGCTGACACTTTGGTAATTCCAAGATGCTGGTGCTCTATAATCTTTCACTTCCTCCTTCCACCTGCCCTAAATAGAAATTTATTTGCACAGTATCTGTTTTTAGCAGGATAGACCCTATGTTTAAAATTAGTCTTAAATACTTATTTTAGCAACTATTTGTCAGATGCACAAGCCTGCAGGCCAACATGTACTGATTCCATGGACATATATAGAATCATCTGCCTTGGAAGATAAGACCAACAGCAAAGTCATTCTAAAAACTGAATTATTGCTTGTCTAATTTGAGAAAGTGTCAAATCCTGTAACTTAGTATTAAAAAATAAATTATTTTTAAAACAAGTGAAATTCTTGAGTATAAATTCACTAATTTAGAGGGGCTATTAAGTTAGTCTACAATAATATTTTTCCTTATATTATTTCTCTTCAGTGTCTTGGAGGGGCTGTTGACTTTGCAAATTCTTAGCTTAAAAGACTTGCTATGAGCAGTGACTTACCTTCAACCAAAGAGACCATTTTCAAATCAAAAAGTTACTTTTATAATGAAAACACATCATATTCTATGAAATATTCAAAATTCTTTATTTCAGGCCAGTTACAGTATTGTTACAGGCATCCATCTCTTCCTCTGAACTTGTACATGATCAAAGTTGGCACTTCCAACCACAAAAATGTTAAATGGTTATTGCAGTACAGGCACAAAGTAGCCAAAAAGCTTTACTTTTATTAAGCAAAGCCGTTATTGTGCTCTATCAGCATTTATCACCAGTGCACAAACTGAGCTCCCCTCCTAAGAGCAATCAGGAAAGGGAAATTTCCCTTAAATGAAGGAACACAGATAGCAGCTCTGCTACTAAAACAGTAATTTTGAAACAGTCAGTGGAAGAATGACAGATACCTGGATACAATGGACATCTTTCTTCACTGCTTTCAGTAGCACTTCCTGATTCACATGGGTTTAACATCTTTACAAGTGTCCACTGCTGCTTCAATTATTATAATCACTATCAGTGTTCCACATTTGAAGAATCAACATGATTTTAAAAAAAATGAAAAATAAAGCTCCCAGAAGTCTGTTGGTACTGCAGTTCTCTTGCCTAAGAGCCTGCTTCATAACCACCATTTAAAATCTCTTTCCTTTCTAGAAGTATCATTTCCCTTTCATCAAGAAGGCAGCACCCGAGACACTTTGTGTCACCTAACTACAAATTAACACAACCAGTGCATGTTACCACATTTCCAACTTCCAGTTACAGTGGTAAGGAAAGCAATTAGCATATGGAATGAGTATCAGATACTTGCGTGTACCAAGGCAAGTTAGCTACAAAAATCTCTACAAATACCTTACAAACAAAACTAGAAGCAAACACTGCTATCTTTACACAGGACCGTTCATGAACACAACTGATTGGGCAGTCATCTGGAAAACAAGCTGATAGCTATGTTACAAAAATAGCCAAACAAATATTTGATCATAGTGACTGTACAAACAAGTGTTAGAGGGAGGGAAGTAAGCATGATTTAGTTAGCACAAACTCCACTTATACAAGAGTGCCTCCAAGCCACAGAACATGTAGCTTCAGTTTTACACTAATAATAAATACTTCAGTCCAATACATGCAACTGAGTCTGGCCAATGTGTCTAAGGAGGCAATGGAACATAATTCCATCGGTTTTCTCTACAGCACGCAGGCCCACTCCACTGGCAGGAATGCCAGTCTTTGCCTATACAGGATGCCTGGCAGCAGCAGGTGCCCTGCAGCTCAGAACGGAGGGAGACGGCAGAAGTGATTCCATCAGAGGTAAGGTTCAACGTATGCAAGGTATGAGCACACTTTGTTTTTAGGCACGTCTTTGGTTACATTCTCAACACAGTCTGCTTTATAAAATAATAAATAAATCAGTCAAAATTTGGTTAAAATCCAGGTAAAGATTAAAAACTTCCTTTTTTCAGAAACTCAGGCAAAGAAGTCCTTTTACATTCGTGTTTTGCTATATCCATAAACGATAAAATCCCAGTGCTACAGTAAGGCATGTAAATACTGAACCTGAAAGAAAATAAAGATGGGGAAGAAAATGGCATTAATATTGACATTAAATAACATTAAATCAATAGTTCTCAAAACATCTCTTCAGAAAGCTATGTACACATCTTACTACAATACTAAAAGTTCAACAACTTCCCCACTCCCATGTGACAGATTAAGGTTTTCATTTACAACAAACCATTTCAAGGTAGGAAGAGTATAAAAATGACAAATAAAAGGAGAGGAAAAAAAAAAGAATGTTGGAAACTATCAAAAGGCTGAAAGAAACCCTTACTTGCTTACCAATCCAGAGATCAATATAGCAATTTACAGATGTAAAACAAGGAAATAAATAATGGGATTAATATAACATAGTCAAGTATATAGCAATCAAAAGAATGAAAGCTGTTTTTAACAAGGCTTATCAGTTTTACATTTTTAAATTTTCTACTTAAATGAAATCAAGTTTTTATTTCAAAACATACTTTTGCCTTTTCTTGCAACAGGAGCACTTCAAACACAATGCAAATTATTTTAAATTATTTTTTTCCATGTAGAGTTCAACTTGATTTTGAGTAGGAATGGTAGGGAAAATAATTTCCTCTCATTTTAATAAAGAACCTTTTATTTTCCATTTTATTACTTCTCTCTAAATGATATATCTGAAATACTGTACTATTAGGCTTAAGTGACTGTACTTTTGACAAAACCCACTGTGAAAAAATAATCAGAAAATCTAAATCAGAATAGTTTTCTACTGCAAACTTCATTTAATAGTATTGCACACTCAGTAGTAAAATGTCAAAATGTTAAAGTTACCTAGGGCAATAATAGAGGCACATATTATAGTATTTTCAATATAGGCAAGCATGTACTATTTTCTCCAAGAACTTGTGTAAATATGGAAGTTTAAAGAATATGTGGCCTTGGATAGTCAGAAAAACTGAAATATTCCTTTTTGCACACAGATCTCCATCAGATGGATGAAGAAATCACAGTAATGCATGCAGTAGGCTCCTTACATAAATTAAGTCAGGCACAGAAGAACTTTTCGGCACTTAACAGTCAGTCTTTTAGATTTCTCACACATATTTGTTATTAATAGTATGAAGGACAAAAGCCTGAAAAAAGCCCATGCAAAATAAAGTTGTGAATTATAGGAAATTTCTTCTGAGTTAAGTACAGAAATAAGGCTGCTAATCTTGCCTATGATTATTTCAAGTTCGGTTTTGTTTTTTTTTTTTTAATCAGAGCCTTTATAAATACAGCCAATTGAGAGTTTGCTAAACATTTAACAATGCTTAGCAGTTTCACCATCAGAGACAATCACCAGATTCCTTACCTGCTAAGTACTTAATATTATCAAGTTTGTGCGATTCGAGCATTGTTTTCAGATCTGCAACTTCTGTGTCTATTTTTCTGTCAGTTTGGGTCAGAGCTCGGTCTTGTTGTGCGTGCTAAAAATCAAAGCAACAAAATTACGCAATTTGAACACTTCCTAGTTTATTTAGAAATTTAACCTGTCCCTTCAAGTTGTATTTTTGCTTCTTCCTTAAATGCATGTTAATTTGTATTCTTACAGAAGTTACAGAATATTCGGGGGTGGAAGGGAACCACAGGGATCCTAAGTCCAGCTCTGCAGTGAATGGCCTGTACAGGGATGGACAGGATGGCCTGTACAACCTTGGCATTATTAGCATCATGCTCTAACCAACTGAGATGATAGAGGCCTTATTCAAAGAGTACAAGTTCCTTCTTAGCTGATTATATCCAGGAAATTGAATAATTTGGTGAACTCAGGAAATTTACGTGATTACATGTTCCTTAACAAGTAACCTAGAAACTGGCATAACTGGATGCCTTCTTATCTCAATCTAACAGCATAAACATTAACTTCAATCTGTCATTCAGCCCACTGACTAAAGTCACTGCTCAATTGTAAAAGCTACTGAGAAGCCTAAGAGCTTCTTGTGACAAAATCATACTGGAGCAGAGAGATTTATAGATCATTAGAAAAATTGAGAATTGGTCTTCTGTTGTAGAAAAGGATGTCTTTGTCTTGCCATGAGTTTTACCACACAATCAGCTACAAATTAAGAATTTGGTTATGACAGAAGACAGGACTTCTGCTAAAAAATATGGGATAGAAGTATTACTCAGAAGAGACTGAAAAATCCAACTTGTAAACTAAGAACAACAGTTGCTGAGGTGCTGATATTTTCAAATCAGCACTACTGAAACATTGTGAATCAGTTAATGATTTACTGCTAGATGACTTCCTAGGGATAATTCCTTAAACTACAGAAAGGAAACAAAGATAAGTAGTAGTTCTTAGTAAAAACCTCCTCTAAAACAAAGGCAAATCAGTCTAGCAATGAGTTTCTCTCTAAACACGGGAAGGAATTAATTTCGCATTGTGAGTGGAATTTCACCCACGGAAAATACTACATGCATGAGGTTTCAAAACAAAGTGACTACTGAACAGCTCATACATATATATATATATACATGCAGAGGGTCTAATAATATATATGAAAGCCTTTTTATTCTGTAGACACTTAAGTGCATAAGGACATCATCAAGTCCAAAAAGGATACAAGGTCGATAACACAAGTACAAAAAGATTTGCTGTGTAATAATTAGTTATAAGTTCTTACCAATTCCACTATTTCTGTCCTCATTTCAAGTAGTTTTCTTTCATTAAGTGAATACTAGAAGGGGAAAAAAAAAAGTTAAACATGATGCTGTCTTTAAACTTCATTTCCTTTTTTTTTCCACTTGAAAGCATGTTTCTTTGTTTTACATAGAACACATAATCTGGACAACAGTATTGTCTGACAGCACTTGGGAGACAGCATTGTAGGGTACCTGCTGTCCTTTTGGAAAGCACACTTCAGAAATGTGAAGTGCAACAAGTTCTTCAGACATTCATCTTCCACAAAAACTGCATGTATTAGTAAGCAGCTGGAAGAGAGGCTGGCAGATTTGCATCTCTGAAAAGCAAGGACCTAAGACTCTAAACAGTAACTCTGGAACAGCTGACTAATCCATTAAGCACACAAGCACAACCAAGGCTGAACCATCTGCTGCCTTCAGGAAGGGGAGAACATCTAAATCACATCAAACTCAGATATCACTGAAATGTTTAGCCAGCACTGTATGCATTCACAATTTGAATTGTTCTGACCTCTGTCATTTCATGGTATATTTGTTAAAAACAGAACATCTATATTGCACATGAAACCTTTCAGAAGCTGTGGCTTATTTCCAAGTTATGGCTATTTGGATTCAAGCAAAAGTTAAATCCAAAATAAGGAAGCATACCTTTAAAGCAGGTTACTTTTCTGACTGATAAAGGCTTGATTTAGCTTGACACCTGAAATGGTTCCTGCCCCACTATTGGAGCAATTAAATTATTCATAGACAACTGATAAAGCACCAGTCTCCAGTGAAGAGTACTAAGGTCATCAGGCACCCATCTCAGAATCCTGAGTTGAACACCAATAACCTTAGCTATTGACATTCCCACGTGGAAAGTCACCTTATTTTTCCTTCACTCTGGAAGCTTATTTAATTTTAACATTAAAATCAGATTCATCTACATAAACGCCTCAGCACTGAAAAACATTCCTTAAAGGTCTAGAGCTCTGTTTGGACTTTTGACTGATCTCAAGTTGAAGCTAAAAGACAGAAGTCTGCTACAAATGTAGAAAATTACATAAAGACAAATAATAGCATGTCTATAATTAAGGGAGTCACTAGATTCTGCAAAATTAAGACACAGATAAAAGAAGAAATTCAGATATTTTATATAAATCTCCATTTTTGATAATGTCAAAACGGCAAAATATTTATAAAATAATCTAATCAAAATTATGTTTCAGTAGAAATGCAAGAATTGGACCTCACATTGAGGAACTGATCACTGTCAAAAGAACCATGAGAATTAAAATAATTTTATGGACTGAAATAGTTCATCTGTTTTACTTTAAATACATGCAGTTAGCTAAATACACATCTTCTGAATGATTTATATTCTACAAGCTTCTTTCTGGATGTTTCTTAAGGTTTTGTTTTGTGTTTAGAACTCTCTAGATCAGACTCAAGGATTTTACTCTTAGGTTTAAGACAGTGAAATTGGCCTTTTACAGCAAGCCATCATCACGTCTGTAACAACATAAATATAGTGCACAAAAAAACAAAAAGGAAGGACAAAGCTGTGTCTCTGAACATTCAACATGAACATTCATAGTCTACTTTGAAATTCAACGGGAAGATTTCCCCTTAAGTCCACGTTTTTCAAAGTGCAGGAAAAATTCAATTTTGTCAGATACATCTTGAGGTTTTTAACAGCAAGCTTAGAGGCACTATGGTTCACGAATGCACGAATATATACAAGTTTCTGTACTGTACTTCAAATTTTAAAATCACATCTGTACACTGAAGACATAAATCACAACACAAAGAGATGTGCACTAAGCATTGTAGGATTCTCTGAGAAATAAAGTAGAAGATACTAAAAGTAGAAGAAACTAAAATAATAAACTATAAAAAAATAAAAGATAAAGCATTTAGAACTTGAAACACTAAAGACTGCCAACATCAGTGTAGGCAAATTAAGAAATTCTTTTTCAGCACTTACTCCACGTAAAACTGAAGGATGAGAACATTTTATTTATTGCTTCAAGCTAAAACAGTTAAAACTTTGGACATTTTTCTTCTGAAAAGTAACAGTAAGAATGCACAGTAACCTTCAATTGAAAGCTGGATATTCAGTCCTTAGTCACATTACAATTGAAGTAAATGTAACAATGATGCTGTGCCTACTACAGAAAATACTGGATTACATCTTTCCCCCTGCTCAGCATATGTGCTACAACCTGCTCCCCATTCAGCTGCCTTTTTCCTCTTCTGTTCATGCTGGCAATTAAATGGTGGGGTGGGGGGAGGGAAAAAAAAAACAAACTGCCACAGAAACTATGAAATTTTAGTTGCACAACAGACTACAAAGTTGGTCAACTTTTTAAAGAAAAAGTTGACATGCAGTTTGCCTTTCCTGGGAAGCAAAATAAAATTGTGTTCTACACAAAAGACGAAAGTCCAGGTACCACAATCCTACATTAATATACAAGAAAACATTGCTGCCTAATTTATCACTGGTGCAGTGGTTTCATATAAGTTTTGTAAGCCCAAATTATTGCAAAGCTTATCATATACACAATGACTACATTTCATATGATGTTTTGTTAAAACATTAGCATGAAGTATTGACCTTTAAACAAGAAGTCTACCAGCTCAAATTGTACTTTATTCAAGCATCTACCACGGGCTAACAGACTGTTAGTCGTTATACTGAGTCACCAACACAGCTGTTACCTAAACTAATCACTGCAAAAAACTTCTAGGGGCACACAGAGAAGATAAATGATATCTACTTGAACAGTTGCTATTGACTGGATTGAAGATAAGTATTATGTCTTTATAACACACCTGGGAAAAAGGACAGAAAAAAGAAAAATAATAATTTAGAAAAAAGTCATTAAAAGATCTTTCAATTTAGAAGTTGCCATTTCATTGAGATCCTAAAAGCTGCTGAAAAAAATCTATGAGAACAGAACCCTGGAGTGTTATGCATAATGCAAAAACTCGTTAATCTTCTAATTTTACATCTACATTACCCTAATTTAAGATTACATCAATTCAGATCTACCAGGTATTTCAAACCTCAAAAACAATATGAACCAGGATAACTTAAAATTAAAAAAAGAAATAAAAAATTTCCAGCTAGTTCCACAATTGGTATTTTCTGACTAACTAGATACAGGGAAATGAAACATCTTCAATGATGATTCAACAAAACATGTAAACAATATTAAGTGTGTAAACTGAGAAAGAGATATAAAACAGAAAACCCTCTAGGCAGCTAGTCAGCATATTAGATTAAATATCTATTATATTTAAGTGTAATGTGTTGATCCTGATGGTAAAACAAAATCAAAACAGGTAAGACATACAGACCCAAACATGACACCTTGTATATACCAGCATAAGGACAAGTAACTTGGATTAATGTCACCTTGAAGCTGAGTGATACTATAGGTTAGTATGAAAAGGCTCTTTGGGTAAGATGGTTTTGTCAAATTTGGAGATTACTCAGTGTTGAGATGTTTTTAGAAGTAACCAAAACTTACCAGTTCTTTTACTCTGCTCTTCTCCAGATTTAGATTTAACTTGTTATCTGCACGAACTTTGGTAATTTCATCCTAATGGGAAAAATTGATAAAGCAGCAAGCAAGATTTTATGTTTCATCAGAAGCAGAAATAATTAGACAAATACATTGTATCTTTATTTATATCTCATGAACATGAGACTCTCTCCAATTGATGTACATAATTTTCAGAAGTATTAAGTATTTTTATACTTCACCTGGGAACTATGGTATTCTATAGTATGAATTGGATCTCAAAATCAGAAAGTAAAAATTACTTTTAACCCTGAGAACAGCATTCAACTAAGACCACATCCTTCTACAAATGCAGAGAATGCTTCATGCATCCTGTAACTCTCTCTAATATCTAGAAACCCATGTCTGGCTACACCTGTAAGTTGGATTTCGTCCATGAAGCATTCTTGATGCTCAAAATAACGTTCAAAGCAGTTTCTAACCTTCCAGTGTAAACAAGAATCTGTTTCTAAAGACTACATCTAGGGCTTTCAGAAAAAGCTATAGACATTTTAAAAATCAGGAAATGCTTACTGCATTTTTAAACATCTAGCTTTTAAAACTACCATTAAGTTGTACGCTTGCATTTGACTTTATCAATAGTTGTGAGTACTGCTTTTCTTGGTTACAGCTGCCATTTTAATGCAACTTCCTGGCAGGAATTCCAGCCAGATGACAGTTTGTCATGTGGCAAACTGCTGATTAGATGAATATGTGGGAGAAGCAAAAGATTGCTGATGTTCTGGGAAATTCTACTGCTAGAACCAAGTAAACATTTCTCAAGTAGGCCAATGCCAAATCATTAGGTTAGCATTAACAATAATTAGACTCAATTTCTGTGTTTCAATTTTGAACTTCAATTGATATATCATTAGTTGTCATTTCAACAGAATACATTACAGTTTAATAAATCAAAAAACAGAAATTTTCCTTGAAGTATTATAGTGTGTCTTTTTGTATGAGCAAGCACATAACAACGTGCCCTTGTGAGAATTGAATTTACAGTTAAAAGTAAAATATAGAGCTTTTAAGAAAAGATTACTCAGATCCTTGATGCTCTATCAGGGAACTACACTAACTCATTTACATGCAACTAAAACCATAAAATAAGTTACAATTCAAAAATTAGATGCCAAATGTATTTTAAAACAGAGTAAACTTTCTACACAGAGCCTGTTTTCTTGCAATGGTCATTTGCCCCCAGACAAATGGGACCAAACATAATGGTCCCAAACTTCTTGGCCTTAAAAAGACATTTAAAGACTGCTTTAAATTCTGGACAGGTAACAGGTAAGTCTTCAGAGAAAAAAGAAACAAAAAACCCACCAAACTAAACAATCAAACCTCCACAGTTATTAAGTACTGTGATTTTAAATGTATGCTGCATGTTTAATGTACAGGCAGCCCTAAATGCAGAACTTCACTCAGCCTTAACTGTGACATGGCAGCTATTTTATGAGTCTGAATTAAGGACATAAAAATATCTTCAGTTATATTTTGGTTCACCTCTTGTACTAGTCACAGTTTCCCGTCCCCATAAATGAGGTATGCATGAAAGTGCCATTTCTGCAGCCCACAGTGTACTGTCAACAGCAATTCCAGTATCACATGTATCATAACATTTAAACACAGCTTAGAAAATAAAATTCTGAAAGTAACACTTCTTATTTTTTCCAGCTAATTAGACAGGTGTTAATTTTTAATTATATTGTTATGGTATCTTACCACGACTTGCTTCTTTATCTGTTGGAGCTCAAGTTTTATTTTCTGTGAGAATACAAAAAAAAAATTTAGACTTTACTACTGTATATAAAGCCACACTTTCTGGAAATCTATTGAATTTGCTTGATCAGTAATAATGACTATAACCCATAATATGAAAAGGTAGGCAAACCAAGCATTATTCTGTATCCTCAGCACATGCACAGATGAATCCACATGCATGTTTATTCAATCCTGTGCCCTTCCAAAAAACAGCACAAGGCAGAAATCAGCAGTGTCCCACTGGCAGCTGTCCCACCATAACCCACAAGGCTGCTGCCCGCTTTTGCCATGAGGGCTCATCACTGGCTCGTGGTCCACCCGGTGTCCACCAGGTCTTCCCTGCCAAGCTGCTTTCCATTTGGTCACCCTCGGCCTATCCTGGTGCCTGAGCATACTCCCCAGGGACATAAGTGGGCACATCCATTTGTTCAACTTCATGTGATTCCTGTCATCCCATTTCCCAGCTTGTTGATGTCCCCATGAATGGCAGCACAACTGCCTGGTGTATCAGCAGCTGCTCCCAGCATTGGATCATCTGCAGACTTGCTGGGTGCCCTCTGCTCTGCTCCATCAACAAGTTCATTCATGAAGGTGCCACACTATCCCAGCCCCAGTCATCTCCTTGGGTACAAGATACCTTTCTATATCGTTATTAAAAAAAGTTCTAGAGTAGCACTTTCCAAGACAGTAATTTTTACCTCATTTTCTGAACGAAGTGCTGAAAATTCACTTTTTTCCAAAATAATCATGTCCTTTTTCACACCACCAATATGGGACATTACTTGCTGAAGTGCAATTTCCTTTAAAAGAAGGAAGAAGACTCTCAGAACATATCACAACTACAATGCTTTTCCTCATCTGTGCCTACAAATATGAAAGACTATTTTGGTACCCTGTTATTTTTAATTCAGGAATTTCAGGTTGATTATCCAAGTTTCAGAAAGCAAGATAGAGTGACAGTGACAAAATAAGCAAGTTAGGCTCAAACGTCGGTAACATCTGACAAAATTGGCAGTGCTAACACAGATCAGAATAATTCAATTATTAGCCTAGGAAACATTTGCTTCCAAGTCATCAAATTCTTAAGCTAGAAAAGGCATTAGGGAGAACTGTCTCTGAGCCAAACGAGGAAAGCTGGCCTTTGGACCAAAATTCCTCAGTGCAGCCATACTCTTCTGTAATTACCTCCTTTTTTGCCACTCCCTGCAAGGAAGTCTCTGCCTCACTGCTCAGAATCACACACTGATGCTCTGAATTGATCTTCTCAGTCCATTACACTGAACTGACAGAAGATAAACAAGAATTCTCTGCAACTTTCAAGGATGGAAAAGTCTGTAGACATTGCTCTAGATCCTACACTACCCACACGTGCAAATAGGAACTGCCTTCTCTACTAAAGATCTTCCTCTAATTAGTCTCTTGCTTTTGATTCTGGGCTAAGACCCCTACAAATCTGACACAGCACTCTAACTTCAGTTTTGTCACAAAATGTGATTCTACCTTGCAGCATTTTATTTCTAAGTAGCATCTAAAGACACCTCTCCAGGCCACCTAACCACAAGACTGAAAAAAATGGGTCAATGTTCTGGACATATTACAAAAAGCCTACTTAAGAGAGTATTGCATGGACACCTATTTTCTTACTCCTCAGTGTCTCCAGATTGCTCTTGAGCTCTCTTCTCCTCAGTGGACTCAGCAAATGGAGACCAGAACCTTTCATATTCTTCCTCTTCTTCATGCCTATACATATACATATATGTAAATCTGTTTTTTCCTAAGGTTTTATCTAACCAAAGTCATATTTTGATAATAGTTCATCCACAACATTCCAAATCTTTCTTCTCTTTCTGCAGAAGCCCCTGTGCAATCAAAGACTTTAAGGAAGCACAAATTTATCATGTGGCCCAGTGTTGATGGCACATATACTTCCTGAGCTGCCATACAAACCTACACACTGCATAATGGCAGAAAGTCAATTGAGGGTCAAATCTAAGTCTCAGAAAACATCTACCATCAATAGCAATATTAAATTCCTCACAAAACAACTTTCATTCAAAAAAGCTAGGCACAGAAGGAGGCTGAGACTGCTTGTTGCAAAATACAACTAGCCATGCGAGAAAAGGACCCTTCAACATGGCATTCCCTGAGTGACTGTGGAACAAATTTGGCACAAGAGGAGGATTGTAGGTTTGTCTACAATCTAAAAGTTATGAAGATTGGTTTGAAATCTCCCTAGATGGAAAGTGCCACAAAATCCACTTTTGCAGTATCCCACTTTTTAATGAGAAATCCTTCTGCTAAGACTGTTACACTACAGAGACAGCAGCTGCTGTTTTCTCAAGTCTCAAGACAGCAGCCTGGTTACTATGTATTTCCTTGTACAAAAGAATTCAAATCCATGCACAGAACACCTCTTAGGCCTGTCTAAGCCTTCTCAATAACTCTGTCTCATATTACTCTGAGGTTGAAACAAAAAAACTACTTGTGGTTTGCACACTAAACCACGGGGCTAAAACCTCAAGGTCCATCACAATGCTCTGGTAACTATCTGATAAATTCAAGACCAAATGAACCAGTCAATAGATATAGAGCAATGTTTGCTCTTCACCTTCAAACTTTTAAAATGCATTGTTGAATAGTAATAAATAGCAACACATATTTCATTAGCAGGCAAACAAGGCTTTAATTTACTTTAACCCCACCACTGCCTCTGATCTAACCTGCTGTACTTTGGTGACCATGTCCTTGTAAATCATATCCAGGTTGGTGTTCATGATTTTCACTAATGCAGATACAATGACCTCCGACTGCTGAGTAGTGAACCCTAAGCGAAACAAAAAGTGACATTCAGAGAGAGATCCAAATGTGGACAGTTTACAGAAATGCCACTTGCTAATACTCAGCACCAAATTACAACAAATGTCAGTTATGAAAGATAATAAAACATAGGCCTCTCGATCCAGCACTAAGAAAAGAACACAGTCAGTACCTCTGGTTTCCCCACCCCAAAACTATGTCTGTGACATAAAACTGTGTCTGTCAACATAATGACTGCTTCCACAGTACAGCACTATTATACCACCAGTAGGATAAATAGGGAGTTTTCCAGAGTTATTGTGGAATGTCACCTCTCACATGTGATTACTTCCATGAGCAAGCAAGAATTCTGACTTTGAAAAGCAGATATTTCATTATACTATAAAACTTCAGCTCCACTGAAGATGTACAAAACTCAGCAACTAAAAACAAAGCCAACTGTGCTAATTTTACACTTTTTGAACAGAATATATTGGCAACTAATAAAGTACCGTCTCTAAAAATACCGTCATCTTTTCCACCCTCAAAATGTAGGAGTAAAAATGTCACGAAGGAGAGTTAATCATTATGAAAAGAAACACTTGCAGAAGCGTGATTATTTCAAACTAACCAGCAGTTCAGCATCAGCAAGCACAGCTGAGAGCAAGTCACTTTCAGCAGCTGAGCTGATATAAAAGTTTACTACCACTAAAGAGGCTCCTCCCTCTCCCCTTATCCCTTTTCATGACACTCTGACCTGTGCTCTCTCAACTGATCCAGCAGCTCCTTAAACTAGTGTCTCAGAATACCAAACAAGAAAAAGAGCTGGAGGGTTTCCTGAGAAGTTCCTGGCAGGAGGAAAAAGAAGAAACCACCTGACAGAGGGAGGGGACTAGGACCTCTCCGTTTTAGGAATGGCGAGCTGTCACAAGTCACTTCAGCTGTACTGAGGTTCACCTTAGGGTACCTCTCTCACCTCAGCATTGAATCCAAAATAATCTATTCCCTTATCTATATTTTAACATTATACTATTTTTTAGAGTATTCGACACTCTATCCTAAAAGCTGCACTGTACAGAGTAGTCTATATTCCATCCAATTGTAACACATTGGTGCATATTCAAGGTGTAATATACTAAATATGAAGGAATCCAATTAATACATTTAAGACCACTGCCTTGAAAACTCTGGGCTTTTTTGCTCTCAGTTCTTAAAATTTCATTTTTTCTTAGCATTTTTAACTACCAATAGGGTAAAAATTGTTCCAAACAAAGTTATATAAGCTCACTGTTTTCTTTCTGAAGCCAAAGACAACTCTCTATGTCCCTATAGATAAGCCCCCATAAAATCCATACAAATCAAGGTATAAGGCTGCATGTCAAGGAAAAGTAAAAAACTTTGTAAACTAAAAATCTACTCATAAAAGCCATTAAAAATAGCTACTTGTTTCAAACAAATTACCATTTTCTTCCAAGAGGCATACCAGCGCATGAGTGTCAAAGTAAAGCCTCCTATTTCCCAGTAAGGAAAGATGCTCTTTGCTTTGTAAAGATGACACAGAGATACTTACATCTGGGGGAAAAAAAATAAAAAGATAAACAAAACCAAAGTTATTTCTCAAGAAAGAATATTTTATCAACATGTTTGCTTTCCAGGAGTTTCCTTACTACCCAGAATGTTTTTCACTTATTACAAAGTAGTTTGTGTGGAGGTTACCACAGCTTGCTTGGAAGTTGAAAAGACATCTGATCAATAAGTTCTATGTGCAAGAGCTGGAAAACAGGACACTACGCTACTCCTGCCCTTACAAGATGCTCTCCAGGAATACAATGTTCTGGGAAAAATCCCTCCAGTTGAAGCGTCCTGCATCTGTTCTTTCACTGGAATCACCTCAACAGGCAGGACCTGTGAGCACTTCAAAGCTTGAGGGCCAAATCCACACACTCTGTCCCTTCTTTGTTACAGAAGTGAACTCCCATCACTTGCCACGTAGGAAAAAAGTAATCACTCACAATTTGCCATTTACTGTTTTTGCAGAAAATACTTTCGACACTGAAAGCCAATCTAAGACAGTGTGTTGTTTTCACTGGGAAGTGTAGTGTAGTAGTGTGATGTAGGGTATAAACTACTCTGACAGAATGAACGTGAGGTGGGGCATGAGGTGAACCACCAAGAGTAGAATCTGCGAATCAATTAGGTTGGAAAAGAGCTTTTCGATCATCGAGCCCAACCTTTGACCGAACGCCACGTTGTGAACCAGACCCTGGCACTGAGTGCCACGTCCTTAAACACCCCTAGGGACGGCGACTCCACCATCCCCGTGAGCAGCCCAGTCCGTAGTCCAGTCACCTCTTCTGCAAAGAAATTCTTCCTAATGTCGAACCTAAACCTCTCCTGGCAGGCGATATCCTGTTATCCTGTCGCTGGTTGTCTCGGCGAAGAGACCGACCCGCACTTTGCTACACCCTCGTTTTGAGCAGTTGCAGAGAGCGATAAGGTCCCCCCCCGAACCTCCCTTTCTCCAGGCTAAACACCCCCAGCTGCTCTGCGCTGCAGACCTTCCCCATCCCCGGTTCCCGAACTCTCTGTGCCCTCAGGACCCCATGCCCAAGGGCTCACCCCGCTCCCCGCGGTGCCGCCGGCTCCCCCCGCCGCTCCCGCCGCCCCTTCCCCACACGGCGCCGCCGCCGGGGCCCGGCTGCGCTGCGGGCGGGCACCGCCAGCCGCCGAGGCAGCGGCGCGCGGGGGACGCGGGCGCGCGGCCGTCACGTGAGGCGCCGTCCGAGCCGCGCGTCCGCGGCCGCAACAACAGCAGCAGCGCGCGCCCCCCGCCGCCCGCGGCCGCCTGCGCCCTGGCCATGGCCGCGCCACCCGCTCCCGACGGCGGAAAAGGGGAAGGGAAGGAGGGAAACCGCTGCCGCCGCCGCTGCCGTCACCACTACTGCGATGCCATCGTCGAACACACACCGCCCCGGCGGCTCACTTCCGCCACTGGCGCTGTCCCGCTTCCGCCTCCGGGACGCGGCCAAACACGGCAGGTGACGCCGCCAGCGACGGCGATTGATTCTACGGTTCAGGGAGCAGCCGCGGCGAGAAGGGCGGTGCGGGCGGGCCAGGTTTCTGCGGGGCGGTGCTTGCGAGGGCGGTGCGGGACCGGTGTGGGTTCGGTGTGGCGGAGACGGACACTGCCCGGTCAGAGAGCCATAAAGCCTATGATCATGGGATCGTCAGGGCTGGACGAGACCTTTGAGATCATCTAATCTGGAAGGAATGAGGGACTTGTCTTTACAACCAAACTGTGGATCTGCTGGTAAACAAGGCTTAGATACTGAGAGATGAAAGAAGCAGTGGAAGGAACCATAAATTCCATAAGGAATTCCACTAATTGACACAAGGAAAAGACAAAGTGGGGGAGTTACACATTAGAAAGGAGTCTTAGGTATCAGGCGTTTCGGGGAGTCTGTACTTCTCAAGTACCTCAGCCAGTGGGAAAAGGGAGAGGGAAATGCGGCCGGGAAATTAGGATAAAAAGAAGGCTGCGTCCTCCAAAAATTTGAGAGACCCCAGCGGAAATGTCCCATGACCTCTCCCTTTATTCAAATAAAGTAACGGGACTCCTCTGTCTCCGTTTTGGACATAAACCTCTGGTGTTTGTGTATTAGTCCTACCATCAGTGCAGCACTGCCACTGTAACTCCTAAACTACTAAACCAGACAAACAATTCCCGACAGGACTTGTCGCTCTGCAATGGGACTGACATTTCGGGGCTTGAAGTTATTAACCAAGTAATGCCCAGGATTGGTGGGTGTGGAGCCTTAACCATTGAACAGGTGCCCTAAGCATTAGAGTGGGTCAGGTGTGCTGTTCGTTTGGTTCTGCCAAAAATACAAGTTTCTGGGAAATACAGGAAAACAAGTTTTTTTCCTTATGTGCTGTTGTTATGGCACATTACTTAACGTTTGTAGGAAATTAATAGGAGAAGAAGTTGGTTCATCCCACTGCCATTTTCTCCGGGCAGCACTTACTTCAGAGAAAGTTGATTTTTTTTCTGTTAGATACAAATTCACAGAGAAAAGTGCAAAGCACCTTTTCTTCTGCCTACTAGACTCAATAATGACAGGAAATCAGCATGAAGATGGCATCGTTCAGGTGTACCTATATGAACACAAAGGCAGGTGACCCACCGTGGCACATGGCAGTGTCACAGCAGCGCAGCAGTGTCACTGCAGCTGACACTGCACGTACACAAGGCCAGCAGGTCTTTAGCAGCACCCCCCTCCAGCTGCTGTGGTAATAAAGCAGAAGCCTTTGGTGTTTTTACAATACAAACTATAAATATTGCTTCTGTGTATCAGAGAGATATCATTATACTTGCAGACTGCATGAATAGCCATTTCTTAAATCACTTGCAGTGTTGATGGTCAGGGACATCAGCAGGCTGACTCGCACAGCCGTGTTTGTTTTCATTTTAAGTAAAAGCAGAAATATGCCTAATAAGTTCACTGCATCTGCTTGGCTGTTCCTTGCACACTGTCTGGCAGTAGCACAGCACTAATTGCTGACATTTGTAAGTCTGCAGGCAGTTGTCTTTTCATTCTATGGATGATTCAGAAACTGGTGCAGTGTATTTTCTTTGATAGTTTCTTCAATGATCCCTTTCAGAGCCCTGTGCTTGTTATGGCAATTGAAAGACAAAACTATGACTAGTGAAGTATCTCCTTTTATATCATCTGCCAGTTTGCATTTTGCGGTTGTTTTTTGTGCCTGGACATGATGGCAGATAATGGGTGCTAGAAGTGCTGTACAGATGGAGGCTCTGACTGCAACTGGAGCCAGTCCATTCAGGGTCAGATGCACCCACACATGCTGGCTATCACACACAGTGCCCCTTTTCATCTTCTCTAATGAATGCAAAGTTACTATCATGAGCTACACAGATCTCCTAAGGCAGATAAGTTTCTATGTTTGTGTCAGAGAACAACATTTTCATTTTATTTCCCTTTCCAGTGTCATGTCACCAGGCTGAGGGAGATTATTTTCTCCCTCAGCTCAGCTCTTGTGGAACCCTACCTGGAGTAGTACATCCAGCTCAGGGCTCCCCAATGGATGAAGGACATGCCGGAGTGAGTCCAGAGTAAGGTCATGAACATGATCAGGGGGACTGGAGAACCTCTTCTACAGGAGAGGTTGAAAGAATTGGGATTGTTCACCCTGAAGAAGAGAGGGCTCCAGGGAGAGCTTGTAGCACCTTCCAGTACCTAAAGGGGGCCCACAAGAAAGATAGGGAGACTAATTGCAAGGGCATGCAGTGGCAAGACAGGGAAAAATTACTTTAAACTTGAGAGTTGGTTTAGATTAGATATTAGTAAAAAATGCTTTACTGTGAAGGTGGTGAAGCGCTGGAACAGGTTGCCCAGAGAGGCCATGGATGCCCCATCCCTGTCAGTGCTCAAGGCCAGGTTGGATGGAGCTTTGAGCAACCTGGTTTAATGGAAGATTATTGATGATTGAGAGAGAGAGACAAGGAATCCAAATTTACTGTGAGCTACATATGCTTATATACCATTTTTAAGAAGGCTAGTAACTTTTTACTACATTAATTGGGTTAAACATCACACAGACAAACTGTACATTTCTACTTAGTTCAGTCTTCTTTCCTGCCATCAGTTCAGTCTTGATCCAATCTTCTTGTAATCTTCAAAGCTCTGTTTGCTCTTGCCAAGGCATCTTGGTTATCAAACTGCATGTGCTAATTAAATCCACAGTACTCCACAAAAGATGTTCCTACCCATGGCAGCAGGGCTGGAACCAGATGCTCTTTAAGGTGCCTTCCAACCTTCCATGATTCTATGATCTTCCACATCCTATTTTTCACCATTTTCTCCATGTTGGAGATTGTTATGTACTACCAGCTGATAGATTCCCTGCCTTCTGGAGGCACCTTCAGTAGGTTGCAGTAGCTTCAGAGTTATCTGTTTTGGTAACTGAGCACTAGGGCCTAATTTCTGCATGAAAAGGCAGAAATGCTGCAGTTGCAAGCCAGGAGAGTCAACAGGACAAAAAACTTTCTGCTATTTCACGATTGTAAGTTGCTTAATGCTTGGCTTTAACCTATCCATTACCCCTTGAAAGCCGATAGACCCTGCTTAAAGACTATAAATGAAGCAAATGCTTCGTGTCCTGAAAACTTCATCCCTGAAGGCACACAGCATTCACTGATCTATGGAGTTACAACCCCCTTGGTTGTAAAAGTGAGATCTGCAGAGAAAGAACAAGTGGTGAATGACCTTAGAAACTAGGGTAGCAGAAATGGCAAAGTAATGCAAACTGCAAAAAAAGGACTAATTGCAACATCTTCTGTACTTCTAGGTGAAAACTGAAGGAGAATAAAGTGAGCACTGGGACATATTAGTTGACCCACCATTGTGCTATAGCTGCAAGGAAAGCAAATGGAACCCCAAGGTGTATCAAGTAGGATATTTTCAGTGGTTCACGTGGAATGTTTCATTGACCCTTGAGTATAATGTAATTTCAAGTATGAAATACAGTTCTGGTCACTTCAGTACAGTAAAGATGAAGCCAATTGAAACTGACACCCTTGTGTAAACAGGATAATTAAAGGGAGTGAAGCATCCTTTCAATCGCAGGTGATTAAAAGGAAACTGACTTGTTTAACTAAGCAAAACAAATCTTGAGAGGGGTTCTTGTTTGTATCTGTAAGCAAAATGGAACAGTAAAAATAGAAAAAAAAAGAACTACTGTTTATTTGAAAGAACATTACTGGTAAAAGAACATTTGGTGTAAAGTGGCTGTAAAAAAATGTAGATTGGAAATTAAAAGGTTTTTGCTCAACAGTACAGCTTGTGAAAAGCTTCTCCACAGGAATCAGGAGGGATCAGAAATTGAAATCAGCTCTTACATGAGTGTGGTTCGCTTATGAAAGGGATTTACAATACAGTTCCCTATAGTACAAGGAACTGGTTCCTGTGCCCTTGCATAAATTCTCTGCTATTGAGGTTCTTCACTTTGCACCTCAAACATCTGGGCCTAGCCGCTGTCAGAGACAGACTAATGAGCTAAAAGTACCACAAGTGCAATCCAAAATAGCATTAACTAATATTGTTACTTACTTAAAATATTTTAATACAGTAATTTTATAGAGTTCGGGGGGATTAACAGCTGTCAGGGGTGATGAATGCCCCAAGCTGTTCTTAATTCTAAATGGAAAAAGCTAAAATCCTCCCAGTATGGAAAAGAATGAGAGTCACCAGTGCATGAATGCCTTCCTTTGAATGGAAGAAAAGGGCTGTAACAGCTTTCGCATGAATATGCAAAAGATAAGGTGCATTTCGAGTAATTTCAATGCTGTTATGTCAGGGATGAGCGTGCTCCAGTGATTTTAAAGTGAAGGCAGCACCCAAAACACCGAAGGCAGAAAATAAAAATATACCATTGTTTTCCTTATCTACCGCA